GCCACATCCAGTTGGGGATTCTGGGAGCTGAAGTCCAAAAACCTCTGGAGGAGCAAAGTTTGGGAACTATTGCAAGAAAATGTGGCATGGCTTTGCCCCCCCGGGGAATAAACTTGTCCCACCCCAAACTTTCCAGACCACCCCCTAATTGTTCCTGTGGGTCTCCTTTCCCACAATAAAACTGGGCAAAAGGGCCCTCCTCCATTGACAGCTTCTGCCTCTGCCTCTGCTTTTTCCTTCCTTGCAAAGCAGCCTTGAGACAAGTTCTGCCCTCAAGCTCCGCCCCTGGGCGGAGTCTCAGGCCGCCTTCCAGCCAATGGGGAGGGAGAAAAAGTAGGCAACGTGGAGCTCTCTGCAGAATGTAAACAGAGCCTGCTTGCCTGCTGTCAGAAGGGAATGAAAGTCAATTCCTCCCACCAAGAGCCCATTAATTGTATTTAATTGCATTTTAATGCTAAGAGAGCCAGCCTGGCGTAGTGGTTTGGATGCTAGACTATCACTTTGGAGGCCAGGGTTCAAATCCCCGCACAGCCATGGAAACTCACTGGGTGACCTTGGGCAAGTCACACTCTCTCAGCCTCAGGGAAAAGCAAGGGCAAACCTCCTCTGAAGAAATCTTGCTAAGAAAAGCCCATGATAAGTTGGAGTGTTGGACTACGATTCTGGAAGACCGGGGGCCATAGGCTTGAATGGGGCACATCCCTGTGGGCGCACACAGGGGGTGGTATCCCATTGATTTTAACTGAAGTCATCCCTCCGTGAATATGCAAAACTGTGGACCTCAAGTCCATGAGAACAGAGGGGTGACTGTATATGTGACTTCCCACTTACCCCTCCTGCCGCCACAATACATTTGCTGGAATTGATCTTATTATATTTTAAGTGTGTTAACTTGATTTTAATTCTACAGTAGTTTAATTTAGTTTTAAGGGGTGGGAGGGCTAGGGTGTGGGTTTAAGGAATGTTTTAACTGTTGTCTTTTTAATTTGTTGTACGCCGCCCCGACTGCCGAGCAGAGAGGCGGGTTATAAATAAATTATTATTATTATTATTATTATTATTATTATTATTATTATTATTATTATTATTATTATTAAAGTTGGGCAATGCAGCAGCCTGCAAGAGGATGCTCTCTTCGGGAATGATAAAAAAATGCTTTCCCATCACTAGTAATGAAGAAAGATCCAATTGCCAGTCCATCTGGGTTTTGCACATGAAATGAGAGAGAGGTGGAGTGCCTCATTTGTGCTTTGCCTCTGGCAACCAACTTGCTCTCTTTCTAACTAATCAACAGTGAGAAAAGAGGGTAGTCCTTCCATAGTATCCTTTCATGAATCAATGCTTTACTTATGGCATGTCCCGGGTTTTGTTGTTTTGTTGTTAGTTGCCTTCCAGTCAACCTTGTCTCATGGTGAGCAACGCTGTGAATGAGACATCTCCAAGCCCCACCTATCCTCTACAAGAGATTCACATCACCAGGTTGATCCAGAACTGATTCAGAATCATTGGTGTTCCAACTACATTTACCGCAATTGAATCTCTCTGTGCCATTTTAACCCTATTGCTGTTCACATTTGCCACCATACCAATTTAAAATGGAGGTGCCTCCATTTCTGGGAACGATGCAATGTGATCTGAATCGATTTGGTAGCCTACTCACAATACCAAAGATGCAGTTCGTTGCAGCTCTTAACAAAGAACAGCTAAGGGGTCCAGGGCCAAATGCACTGGTTTAAGTGGGCTTTTTGCCCCTCCCCTGCAAACTGCATCAATTGCAGTCAGGGTGAGTGTAAACGTCACAGAAATAAACCAGTTCCAAAATGGTTATTTCCATAATGTGAATGGCCCAGGCCCGTGGTCTCCCTGATCTAGTCCAGCCATCTGGCATGTGGTCTTCCTCTTTTTATAGTCTAACTTCCCCAGCATCATTGGCTTTTCTAATGAATAGTACCTTCTCATGATATGGCCAAAGTATGGCTCAATCGTCATCTTGGCTTCCAGGGAATTTACAGGCTTGATTTGTTCTAAGACCCGCTTGTTTATCTTTTTGGCCCTACCCTCAGCACTCTTCTCCAGCACCACATGTCAAATGAATTAATTTTCTTCCTATCTGCTTTCTTCACTGTCCAGCTCTCACATGGTGATGAGGAATACAATGGCTTGGATGATTCTAACTTTAGTATTCAGTTGCACAGCTTTATACTTTAGGATCTTTTCTAGTTCTTTCATCCTTCCCATTCCTAGGGCTTATGATTTAAAGCGAATTGCTGATCGCTTTAAATGTGCTTTGTTCCCATTGAAGATGGTTTCAGATGTGACTGCAATTGTTTGGACTCATTTGGAAGTGAGACAGATGGGGGGAAAATCGCTCTCTTCAGACACTAGTTTTTTGGTGGTTCTTTTGAAAAGCATGTTGGGCCCTTACAGATTCAGAAGCATGTTCAACAAGTGTGAACGACAGATCTGATTCGCATCCTGCCAAAGTAACACTCACACATATTGACAAAGCTCATGACCATGTTGGCGTCGCTAAAAGGAAGGCACTGTCCTGGGAGCTTATCAGGCCAGGAGAAGAAGCAGGACTGTGGAGGTGGCTGAAGAGGGTTTGCACCATGGCGGGGAGTCCCTTCTCTCCGGCTCTTCCTCCCTCTTCTTCCTTCTTCTCCTCCTCATTGGAGAGGGTCTTGTACAGCTCCAGCATGAACCATGGAGAGGGGTTGAGCCTCTCCAGTGAAGAAGAGGCCAAAAGCGGCTGCAGTGGTGGCCACTTTGGTTGCTTTGGGAAAGTCACCTCTCCACCATCCTCCTCCTCTGTCCGGATCCCATGTGCTGGCTACGGCTGGTGTAGCAAATCCAGCACGGAGAGGATCTCCTTCTGCATCTCCCTTTCCTTGTGGGACTTGAGGCATTGGTAAAGGAAGCCCACCGGGGAGGAAGAAGAGGAGGAGGAGAAGGTGGAGAGCTCCGGACCCCCGAGGAGGGCAAGGGGTTCACCCCAGGCAGTGGAGGGGAGGAAGAGCCCCGGCAAAGGTGAAGTTGTTATGAATTTTTCTTAGTAAAGTTGGTTCAGGGTAGAGCTTGCCTTTGGTTCCCCCTGAGGCTGAGAGAGTGTGCTAATCAGGGCAGGGCAGGGCAAGCACTCCCCTCCAGGCTGCGTGGTTTGTCCAGCTCTCCCGGGTACGTGTCCAGAGGCACATGGCAGAGGCAGTGCTCCTTCTGGGAGGAAGGCTCCACCTTCCTGCTCCTGCCTAGATCCTCCACTGCCAGTGATCTGAACCCTCTGCACTCCTCCACCTCTGGAGGCTAACTTCCAGCAGCTGAGCCCCTTCCTAATGGGAACTGCATGGAATAAGGGCAAAATTCGCTTCCATAGTAAGAATTACGCATCGGCCTCAGTCTAACTCGCAACCCGGTGTGAGGGCGATTTGCAAACTGGTTTAAATGTAAGTGGGAATGAGCCCCTAGTCTTCTTCTCATTTCTTGTCTGCAGTCTCCATTCTGATCAATGTGTGATCAAAGGTATGGGAAATCTTTAACTATTTCAATGTCCTTGTTATCCAAGTTGAATTTATGTAAATCCTTCATGGTCATTATTTATAGTTCAGCCCTTTAAAAATAAGTATTTTTACATATGATGCATAACATTTTCAATCGGAGTTCCATTTGAAGGAGGACTCATCTTTATTCAGTTTGGAATCTGTGTTTAATTCAGGAATATATGAAGACAAAATATCTTCTGAGTGTGTGTAGACCCTCAACCACCAAATAACCACAGCTAATCTTTACATCATTGGGATTATGGGACAAGTATTAAAGATTGAAGCAGGAGTTCAGGAAGTTCAAGATCAGAAAGAGTTGGGACAGAGCTTCAGTTACAAGTAACATTTATAGCCTGTAGCAAGTTACACTCTTTGTAAAGAAAGTATAATAAAGTTACATTTCGAAAGTAACGTAAGGAGTGTGTAACCAAGTTTACTTTACTGGATTAATAAATATAATTGTTTATTTATTTTCAAAGAAGTAGCTTTGTGAATTTCTTGTAGCATAAAAAGGAGAAGGGAGGAAGGGGGGGGAGGAATATAGCAGCCCTTTTAAGACTATTTTAGCATGAGCTTTTGTGGATATGAACCCACTTCTTCAGATGCAGCACACAGTGAATTTATTTTCAAATTATTTTTAAAGGGGTATATAGAGCAAGAAAATTAAGGAAAAATGTTTAAAAATGAATAGTGTAAGAAGCAACTTTTCCAAAACTGCAGCAAGTAGAGACAATGATACTCCTGGACTCAGCTTTGAACCTGGAGGTTCAGATCTCTGGAGTGACCAGGAGTGCTTTTGCACATTTAAACTTGTGCACCAATTGCATCCATTCCTTGAGATGTCAAATCTGGCCATTGGACTACTGTAATGCACTCTGCTTGGAGCTGCCTTTGAAGAGTGTTTGAAAACTATGGGCCCTTACAGACTGCCAGAAATAATGCAGCTTGAGACCACTTTAACTGTCCTGGCTCAATGCTAGGGAATCATGGGAACTGTATTTTTTTCTGGCATATTGAGCCTTCTTTGTCAGAGAGACTCTAGTGCAGGGACCGGCAACCTACGGCCCGGGGGCCGGTTAAGGCCCCGGGCCCTGGACTTACCGGTCCAGGCTGAAGGTTGCCGCTGTTGCTGTGCGCCACTGTCGCCGCCGCGCGCCGCCGCCGGGGCACATTTTAGGCCGCGCTTGTCACGGCTGCCATTTTGGAAGTCAAAATGGTGGTCGCGACGCATTTGCGCATGCGCAGTACTCTTGGGCATGCGCAAATGCATCGCGGCCGCCATTTTGACTTCCAAAATGGCGGCTGTAGCATGCGCCATGGCGGCTGTGGCTGTGCACTACGGTGGTGGCTGTGGTAGCGGCTGCGGCGGCCGCATGCGTGAGGGGGTCGCGTGCGGAGAAGGAGGGTGCACAGGCGCACGTGAGCATGCGCGCCGCCATTCCCCCCCTTGGCCCAGCCAAGAGGCAACCCTTTTGAGACCAGTCTCAAAAAGGTTGCCTGTCCCTGCTCTACTGCCACAATAAACTACAGTTCCCATGATTCCTTAGCACTGAGCCAGGAAAGTTAAAGTGGCCTCAAGCTGCATTATTTCTGGCAGTCTGTAAAGGCCCTATAGCTGGTTCAAAGAACAGCAGCCAGGCTGTTAACTGGGGCAGGTTTCAGAGACCACATAACGTCCCTGTTGAAACATCTCCATTGGCTGCCAGTGTGTTTCCAGGCACAATTCAAAGTGCTGGTTATACCCCACAAAGCTATGGCTCAAGTCTAGACTATTTGGCAGCCCCTATCTCCCTGTATGAGTCGGCCCAGGCTCTGAGATCATCAGGAGAGGCCCTTCTCTCTGTCCCCCCCAGTAACGTCACGGGGGTGGGGGTGCGTGTGTGTGTGTGGGCTGCACCAGTTGATACCCCAGAAGGGGGGTGACACCAGGCTGGCTCTCTGCCCCTGCGCACGGCCTTTTGGGCAGCCTAGACCAGGGGTCGGCAACCTACGGCC